GTTGCTGATTCTGAAATCTCTTCTTCAATAACAACTTAGGTCTTGGTTTCATGGGTTTCAAATACCTAGATTGCATTCTCACCATTTCTCTCAAAACCCTAATCAGCTTCCTCTCGATTTCTTCGCCGTCAGGCTCGATGGCTCTCAAGCACCGTGCCACTGCCTCCGCCGTGCTCACGCATCCGCCGAATGGTTCCTTCCTTAGAAACAGCTCCGAATCGTAGATACTTCCTCCGGTCATGGATGCATCTATTCCCGTATCCAAACACACTCTCACCGCTCCTACTTCTCTTAGAACCTCCTCGCTTGCTTTCACCATCTCCTTCGCGTGCTTCCACGTCGCGTCGAACACGATTAGCCTTACCGGCGGAGGATTCGAAATCGAAACCCCTTGATGGTTTTGGAGGTTTAGGGTTTTGAATTCGGATATGGTTACGGCGGGGGAGGAAGGAGAAGACGGGAAGAGGTATATTGTGGGTGGTGGTGGGAGAGAGGTTTCTACGGCGGAGATGTGATTACGGCGGAGACGGCGGCCGGGGATTCTGGTGATGTTGCGTAAGGATTTGACGAGGAGAGGCGTTGTGTTGAGCTTGTGACGTGATTCGATTGGATGGTGGAGGATGATGATCTCCGTCGTCGTCGGAATTAGATCCGTCGGTATGACGTGGCAGAGACAAATCGTATTTGGACGATCGCAACGGTTGCAGATCCGCCGCCTATGATGTGAGTCTGGCTCCTCCATAGTCACTAGTCACTGCTCTGTTCACGCGAGCGAATCCAATTTTTAATGTTGGGAAGATAATATAAATCTAAAAACGACAGCGTTTTGGTATATATAAGTTACGACGTCGTTTTAGCGTCACTTCCTCAGTCGAATCCTCCACTTTCTCAAGGTTTTTTTTATATGATCGAAATTGCTGGGAAGTGAGAAAATTATATGATCAAAATCCAAAGAAGAAATGTCCACCGTGAGCTTGGAGGTTGCGTCAATGGATGCTACTAAGTTTCAACACACACCTTATTACTGGTATTCTTCTTCTTCCTCGTCTTTTGCTTACGAAATTCCCTTCGATTTAGGTTTCTTTCAGTGATAGAGCGGCGTATTCTACTTGTTTATGTGATTGCCAAAACCCAGAAAAACCCTTTATAAGGCTCTAGTTGATTTCGTTCTTTGGTGGGTATTGGTAGAATTTTGAACCTAAGAAAATGTTGGTCTCTTTATGTTGACTTCTATTGTAGTGAAGAGAACGTGTATCTACTCTGCAAGACGTTGTGTGAGAACGGTGTAGCGGATACGTCGGGTTCCGATCTGTTTGTTGTTTTCATCTCGAATGAGAAGAAGCAGGCAAGCATGTCTCTCTTGTTCTTATGTTTGGTTTTGTTTCGTGTTGGAATTACACCTCCATTACACTGTTTCACGGCTTTTGATTGTTGATTTTGAGAGTTTTGAGTTATTATATGTGCTCATTTGGTGATTAAAGTGTGTATCTTTCGATGTCCATTATTGAAAATGTTGATTAGATGTTTCTTGTAGGTTCCACTTTGGCATCAGAAAGCTAGTAGCAGAGCTGATGGGATTGTACTGTGGGATTATCATGTCATCTGTGTCCAGGTAAACCCACAATGTCCTCCGAGTCAG